TAACTCGCTGCTGGAACCGATCGGAATGCGAGTTCTTCTAATGAACTGTTAAGCCCATAACGGTTACCAATTATTACCTGATCTTAATGATCAAGGACTCATTCGAAAGATAAACATTTTTATTATGCGAGTTCATTATTTTATTTGACAAGAAAATTATGGTTTAAGGGTGGAAAGGGAGGAAGTGGTGTCAAAATCATGTCTCAAAAATATGTCTTTTTCAAGATTAATTTTTAAACGAGGACACGAATCTGTTGAAAATATCGAATAACAGGCTAGCGTTGAAAATCTTGATCTTTCGAATGAATTATTGATCATTATAATCGGATAAAAAATACGATTGGGAAAATTTATATTGGTAAGCGCTCCTTTTTATACTATTTTTCTTTCTTATTTATCAAACCACAGTGGCGCTACTTCGCGTCAACTGTTGAAGCTTCTTCCCCCACTCAACAACGAAACAATGTAGAGATATCTGTTACTTTGGATCGGCTGTTCAAAATGAAGGTAAAAAAAAAAAATAAGGTAAAAAAGTCGGCATGCGTATAAGTATACACGCTATACCAAATTATTATAAATCTCTCTGATGTAACGCTTATAAAAATGTATAAATACTTAAAACGAACAAAAAAATTACTACCGTGAGAATTCATGATGTAAATCCTAAATAAAAAAAAACTTCTTAAGCCCTTTACGACCCCGGATTACCTCGAAGTTCTTAAATAGTTTAAAATTAAAATAAATTTTCTTGAATATTAAATAATTAAATAAATGATATATGACAAAATGTGCGTTAGAATTTGTATTACTTTTCCTTATCTTTCGTTTAGGTAAAATTAATCGATTTTAACAAATGCCTTTGGCAATTAATTTCGTACAAAATGATAATTTCGAATTGGACTATTGTTCCTCCATTTTTCGAATCTCGGAATGAAATAAAAAGAGGGAAAAAGAGAAAAGGCTTCGAGTCGGCCTTTGGAGGAGTCGTTACAAAGCGCACCTCCGAGCGACGTATCGCATCGAATTTCACGTGGCGTTTGTGGTTCCTTGGGAATGGATACTCGGATTATGGGTTACGGTTACGGTCGTCTCGCGTATACGAAGAAACCATGCACGAGATGCGGCGGCCACGACGACGTAAAACCATCGACGATGGAAATAACGATAAATATACTAACCTTTTAACGTGTCCTTATACCTTTTATCAAAATTATTTATTTTACAGTGATATATTTCGTTGTTTCGTATTTGCGCTTCGATTTCTTTTTATTTTTTTAAATTCTATATTCGATTGAAATTAAAATAATTGATAATTGTTTATCTCAGAAACGTTTCGTATAAATGCAACTTCGTAAAACTTCTTTGACGAAACGAAGATTGGGTGGGTATCTATTTTGAAGGTTTCAAATACACGTATGCACCTGAAACGTAAGAAAAATATATTAGTATCTATCCTAATTCATTGGAAATAATATTTATACGAGTTAGTTTACTCTTTATTAACGGATTTAATCTTTTCTGTATTTAATCTACATTAATCGAGTTTCGTTAGAAAAATAATGGCGACCATGAATTTAAGGGGGGAGTTGATACCGAACTCTAATTGGTTGACTTGATTTTAACGAGACGAATGTAATGATTCACTCGGTAATGTTATCTCTACGGTAGTTCAACGTACAATTAACATAAGTATACTCGGAGATAAATAATACATATGTAAATGCTTTCTCGTGGGGACAAGTAAACAATCATTGGGATATAACGCGATTAATCGCGTATTTGTAAAGTTGTTTTCATTTGGAAAAAAAAAGTATAAGATTGTTGATGTTTTTTTATCAATACAGTTAAATTATCAAGAACCGTATAAAAATACACTTCCGACGACAAATGCGAACGGATATGCTCTGACGGTGAATGAACGAACTACCGTTAGAGTATAGTTTACCTTTCGACATCGTTCAACTGGAATTTACAAGTCGCGCCATCTTTCAGTTCGCACGTTATTCTTCCATCTTACCTTGGTAAGATAATTTTTTTTTCTGTCGTAAGAAAAATGCGGCCATTACAAATTATTTTTTTAAGCGTATCATTATTCGGAAAACATACGAAAAATTCAATAAAATGAACGAACAATGTTGTTATTCGAGTCGAAGCGCCTTTAATGATAAAATTCTTGTGCCTTTACAATGTTTTATAAATAAATGCGTTGTTCGTTTTCACACGTTTGTCATTGGTTGGTGCATGCGCGACAGAGCTGCTGAATCTCAACCCTTTCCTGTTTTGCTGTGTACCTATTTTCGACACGGGGATTCCAGAAAATCCCAATGTTTATACCAGGTACTAATGTAAACATGCTACCCTTTAATGGTGGCTTTATTATTTTACAATTAGCAGACAGCGTTCTCGCATCAAAAGGAAAAAAAGAAAGACAGAGAGAGAGAGAGAGAGAGAGAGAGAGAGAGTAAGAGGGGGGTTGAGAATCGTAGGTAAAACGTTCGAGGAGACACGAATAAATAAATGAAAATAAAACCAACGAGGAAAATACTGAAGGACAACGTCCTCGAAGGAAGAACGCGTTTGTCTGTGAATCATTGCATGTTTCGTTTCACGATCGATCATAAACTCCTTTCTGTTCACCTCCCCATTCGATCTCTCTTTCCTTCTCTTATGGAATATTTTCTCATTGTCATTTTATATCTTTCAAAGAATCTACGTTTGTAACGATTACGTAAATCCAACCCTCGACATTTTTATTCGGCGAAACAAAGTCAACCTTTTACCCCCTTTATTCACATTTATATATTATTTTTTATTATTTTATTTCTCTTTTATTTCTTTTCTTTTCTTTCTTTGGATCTGTACTATTATTATATTTTATTTTCACTTTGAAAAAAAAAGGAAAATTGTGCTGCCGCTTTTATTCATTGATAATTTTGGTTTTATTTCTCCCTCCTTTCTTTCTTTCTTTCCTTTTTTATTTCGGTATTTATTTTTTTTTTAATTTTTCGAACGGTCCCACGCGTACCCGTATACCGTCAATATCGACGACGCAGTATTTACGTTAGTTGTACACTAAAGAGATATACCGAGTGTTCGATGTAATAGACGCGATCGAACGCTCTCTGTGTGAATGTATATGTGTATATGTATATTCGTGTGTATATGTGTGTATGCGTGTACGCGTATATACAATATTAAGGAATACTATATGGCACAAGTGCGGATGAGCGTTATGATAGGTGAATCTGTGAGGGTCGCGCTTACGTGTACGTGTGTATCTGTGTGTACATGGTCATGTGTATGCAACTGCATGTTTATTATCTCGTCGCGAGTTTCAAGGACCTTTTGCTTTAACGATTCAACGAATTCGTACGCATATAAACTTGTTAGATGCGTCCAATCTCGTATACTAGGGATTCCTATTATATACCTAAACGTTGTTCGAAATCGAACGATGAACGATGATCGTGCGATATAAATTCTTAATTATACGGTAATCGTGAAAAAGGCGTAATCTCGAACGATTAATTGTCATAGTCCTTAAGACGATTCAATGAAATAACGAGATTTAAGGACGTTGACGTGCGATCTCGGAACTATATATACTTTTTCTTTTCTTTTCTTTTCTTGTTCATCTTCTTTTTTTTCTTTTCTCCTTTTTCAATTCGATTTACGTGTTTTAACGTACAATGATAGTATGTATATAGTACCTATATACATACAGACAATTATGACAGGTAGCTGCAAACTCGAGGAGCAAACAACCAACGGAAGACAGAAAAATAACAAAACCAAGAAAGAGAACAAAGAAAGAGAGAAAGAAAGAGAGAGAGAGAAACAATGAGTTGGTAGGATCTGGCCACTTTAAAACACGATATTCGAAAAGTTTTATTTCAAACGTACATAATGTGACAATGTGACAAATAGCACGAAACGGAAGGAAGAAATGGGAAATTTGTGAAATATCCTTTTTTATCGCATTTGCTCAGCTCAGTTCTTAGTTGCTTCGCGGACAACGTTATTGCTGCTTAATTTCATATTTAACACGACGATCTTTTTCATTTATTTATTATTTAGTTTTTTGGTTAATTCCCAATAGTAGTGTATCGCGCGTATTTCATCCACGTTGTATGTCTCTTTATATAATAAAATGTGTAGAACAATGGTCCCAGAAGTGGTTCACGTTGGAACAGTTGGAATATACATCGAGGAAGATGGAAGATAGGGAAAATTTTATGCAAAAGAAGAAGAAGAAGAAGAAGAAGAAGATAAAGAATAGGATTAAGGTATCGTCGTAAAATCTTTGCAGCTACCTCTCGTAGAAAAAGTCATTAACGATATTTTCTTTCTTTTTTTTTTTTTTTTTAAATTACACCACGTGCATATACATAAGAATGAATTTATGGACCTGAGGTGTTCAAATTGGGAATAATCGTGAGTCGGTCGAGAGCAATTCGCAAACGCATATCTACGCACACAAAAATAAAAGGAATAAAAAACATCATAGAACATATTACGTGGAGCGAGTAAAAAAGAAACAAAGGAACGAGGGTTGAGAAAATTTGTGCGTTTATTAGCGAGAAGACTGAAGGTGGGATCAAAACGTTGAACTCTTTCCTTCTTTGAAACACTCGTTCTTTCGTTCGTTCGTTCGTTCGTTCGTACGTATGTTCGTTCGTTTGTTCGTTCGTTTGGTTGGTTGTTGGTTTTGTTTGTTCGTTAGTTCGTTCACCGTCATACGTTTGTTCGACCAACTACATGTATTTTAAGGGAAACTGATTCTGTAACGGAAAAGATTTCTTACGATTATGATTTACGAACCGTTCGCTAAACCAAAACGATTAATTTTCGTTTGAAAAATATTTGGAAAATTCTACAACACCCAATGCACTCAAAAAAAAAAAAAAACAAAAATTGATGTTTAAATATTTTTTATTTGAAATTGAATTTCTTAAATATCAATGATCTTATTAATTTGTTTTTTTTTTTTTTTTTTTTTTTTAACAAATGAATGACTCATATGTAGGAACAAAAGTTTATATAAATTTGTTGAGAATAAAAAAAATCAATATGCATCTTTTCCCTTTCAGAATCGATCAACCATAAATTAAGTCTATATATTTATATATATCTATCTATTTCTTGTTCTCTTAATCGCATGATTGCGCGTATCTGAATTTCTTTCTTTTTGAAAGGAGCACCTTGAGAAGCACCTTGAGGTACACCTTGAGGAGCACATTCACAAGCACCGAGGTAAGGAAGATGGGAATAAACGATGGAGATCTTAACGTCTTCTCACGATTCTTACTTTCCCTTTTGGCGAGATGGTCCATAGTAACAAACACGTATTGGACTTATTCCTTTTCTCAAATCAAAAAGAAAGGTAAGTAAGTATTTAAATAAGTACTTACTTAAGTAAATACATACCTATGGATGTATACGTTTTTTTTTTTTTTATATCGAGAATGAAAAAGATTGTTCTTATATGTCTCCCGAATGATTTCGTTATACGCTTTAGCGCAAGTATAATACGTTTAGAATCATTCTCATTCATATTTCATTAGCGATATTAATCATTGTATCTATCTACGATAATTATCTACAGATCGCAGTAGTCAAACACTGTGACTGACTGCGAGATTTGCCCGACTGGATGTATATGTGTGTGCGTGTGCGTGTATGTGTCTGTGTACCTTACGCGTCGTCCATTTATAATGTTCATTTTTTCACATTTATCATCGATTTCACGTTAGATAACACACGACGTTTCTTTCCTTCATTCCTTCCTATGTATTTACGATTTAGACGTAGGTAGGAAAGCTAAGTGGGTAAGGTATGAAGTGTTGTAAATATGTAGATACGTACGTATGTGTGTGTGTGTGTGTGTAATGATGCGTCTATATATCCTATACGCCCGCAAGCGCACTTTACGACTAGAGAGAGTGTCTGACTTTTTTTTTACTTTTATTTCTTCTTCTTCTTCTTCTCCTTCTTCTTTTTCTTTTTCTTCTACTTTACCCAATTTTCTTTTCATTAGAAACGATCTCATTTGAATCCAACCAGCTCGTTTACGTTTGATTTTTATCACAGAACAAAATGATATGTAGCTTTTTTTTTGTTCGGTAAAGCTTTGATAGAAAAATCATTGGTAGAAAAAGCTTAAGTAAAAGTTTAGAAAATGGACGTTTCCCTTTTTTTTTTTGTTTTGCGAAAAGAAGTTTAATTTAAAAGTTACGGATCGCGTGAGGCTCGGTGAACAATCGGATTTCAAAGAAATCGTTTCTACGAAGAAATGTAACATGCTTGCACGCGTAATCGAGATATGTACATACATACATACATACATACATATACATATACATCATGCCATATTTTAACGTATTCATTCATATGAGACACCCTGTATAGATATATATATATATATATGCATATATATGTACATATACAATGTATACACATACACATACGTACACGTATATATACATGTATATATATATTTAGATAAAGTCGCATAAAATCTTGATTTGACCGTGCGTATTCTTGTATGCATTTAAAATCGGCCCTTAACATTTTTTTTCTTATTTTTGTCGAATCGCGATCGGGTTTCAATGCTTCGATTCACGCACATCGAGAAATTTTTCTTGCGTTTTAGGCCTTTCTTCTTCTTCTTCTTCTTCTTCTTATTTTTCATTTTGTTTAAATCCCAGAAGATCTCGAACGAGCTCCGTTACGATATCATGTCTCTACGCGCATGACGATTTTTATAGACAAAAATGACTAGAATTGATTTATTTGGTAATGGATGACAAGTATTTTCTTCGATCGATATCTCGTCGGCAATAAATAGCCGATTATTCATAACGAACATGACAATTCTTTTCGTGAACTGTTGACTAGAATAAAAGTCGGTTGCATATCCGATCTTGCAATAAGAATTTTCTATTATCTTATTTTTTTCTTCTTAATCCTCATCTCGCGTACAACACTTGCTTTTTTAATTTTGTCTCCGTCTTCTCTCATTCCCCATTCCGTTCGTTTTCCTATCATCGTTTCCGCCTATTTCGTTCACCCTTCTTTCTCTTTTAGTTGATAATTTAATCGTAAAACGTTATTAAACGAAATTAACGTCATTACTCGACGGTATTCCAATTTTCGAAGGAAAAGTCACGAATTCGTAGCGTTTCCATACGTAAATACCAAACTCATTCAACTTGTATTCCTTACACAAAATACGTTTAGTTACCTTCAAGCTGGTATTTTAAGTTTCGACGAGCAATCGAGCTCCGTCGCATCTTAGCATCAACGATATATGCATTTATATATACACATACATAAAAATTTATACACACATATATATATACATACACATATCGCAATTGTGCATTGTTTCCAAGGCAGTGACAACTGTGCGCGCATCGTCCGCGAAAGAATTTTAAAGACAGACGCAAGGAGAGAGAAAAAGAGAGAGAAAGAGAAAGATAGAGAGAAAGAGAGAGAGAGAGAGTGAGAGAGAGAGGGAAAAGAGAGACCCCCGATCGTTCTCTTCGTTTCATTTTTTTCTTTATTAATTTTCGATCGTATTTTCCCGAGTTTCGAGCCGCGACTAGTTACGAGATTAATGCGATTTTTATTCGCATTTGTTTCTATTTTTGCTTTTTAATCTCGCTCGAATTTTCATTTCTTTTTCTCTTTTGTTCAATGTGGCCCCCGATAAAAAGATACTCTCCACTCACTCACTCACTCTCTCTCTGTCTCTCTCACCCCCTCTCTATTTCTTTCTTTCTTTCTGTATCTTTTTTCTTTCTCTATTTGTGATGTCATTGTCAGACTTCTTCCATCTGTTCGTAGCTCATTGGAAGAAGCCGAAATAAGAGAGAGACCACACGATCTCGCTGGTATCTCCACTTTCGGTTGAGGGTACGACGTCCAATCGGCTGATCGGCCGTGATCGCGATTACGTCGTCCCTTTTTTGCCTTTCGACTTTCCACCTGCGTGCTCTTGTTCGGAAGCACTCGTTGGACTCGGTGGACCGCTACTAAGCCTCGCCACTCGTCGATAAATCGCACTGTTGACGAATCGCGGATAAGAGTCCCGATGCATCAGCGTGTAGATTTGTAACTGTGCCTCGTCGAAGGTATGCGGGGTTGGTTCCACCATGTTGCGATTAACGATCTCGCGTACTCGCGAATCTAGACTCACCTGAAAAACATATAAATATATATATGTCTAAATAAAAGTAACTACGAGATAATGTGTAGAAAAATTCAATAGGAAACGTATTACTAATTGATAATTAGGAAAAATCAATCTACGCAACGATATATTATATCGTTGTCCGATAATGAATTTAATAAAAATTGTCGTTAATGACAAAAAGAAAAATTAATCTTCAATATAACAAGTTAAGTATATCGATAAAAAAGAAAAAGCAATTCTAAAAGTAGAGTTAATCGCTTTGACCTGTGAACGGTTGATGATAATAAAGAAAAAAAAAAAAAGGAACAAATAAAAGAGAAAAGAAAAAATGGGTATATAAGAAAAAGAAACGACTCACTTCTTTCGGTGAGAGTATGGATATGTAATCCTCGTAGATGAATCTTGCCTTTTCCTCGATTTTCTCCGGATTGCTTTCGCGTTTGAGTTCCTCGCACGCGAGCCAAAATGCAATATTTTCCTCGCTGTACTCGCTACGAAGGAACTCGCGAAATAATTTCCTACCGGCCGCGTTTTTCATCAGCTTGTCGAAGGAGGAACCCCAAGATTTGACTTCTTCGAAATTACAGCATTCCATGGAAGCGTCGACACCATCGAGACCGTCGAAGTTGTCCAACCCGTTGCCAGCGGTAACGCCACTGTGATCACCACCGAGGCCACCACCCACGTGTTCACCGCCAATACCAACGTTGCCCTTCTTCTTACCCTGTTCGCCAGTTCCGTCAGCACCGACCGTATTTCCGCCGACCGTTGCCAAACTGTTGTCATCGGGTACGTTGTTAGTCGTTATCAACGATCGAATCGTTAACAATAATTGTCTCAACATTATTTCATCGAGTCAAAATGGGGACAAACAAAAATAAATAAATATTTTTATCCTAACAGATTGAATATATTTCGCGATTACTCTCGTCGTCGCCGGCGTCGTTACGAATTACGTTTAAAAAAAAAAAAAAAAGGAATATGATTATTATGAAACGATAATAATAAAAGAAGCTTGAAAGAAACGCGTTGGCTTTGTCGACGGATGAGGAGCGACTCGCGTAAACGGTAAACATTCTTTAGCGTACCCCAGATGACTAGCCTGACGTCATATCCGTTTAATGTCGCATCATTGATTTTCATCGATACCGCGACCCTTCTCGCTCACTCACTCTCTCACTCTCTCTCTCTCTCTCTCTCTCACTCTCACACTTTTCTGTATCTTTCTAAACCTACGGATTCATCGCGTTATAGTAAACCGCTCTATTGTCGAGTAATAGTAGTATTAGTAGTAGTGTACACCTTTATGTATAAATACGTTGCATGCAAACGATGAAAAACCGATCGACTTTTGCTTACCATTTGTTCCTACATGCGGCATGAAACAGAGAAAGAGAAATATGGATAAAGCTTCGTTCGTACTTTTCTATATAGGTCATGGCTACCTCTTTTCGAGCACAATGAACAAAACGATACGGGAATGTGACAAAGGAAAGATACGATGAGAAAAATCCTAAACCTATATATTCATATAGGTATGTAACAGTATATTATACGTGTCTCTAGATCGGATCTTTGAAGTCAAACAAAATTACTTTCGGTACGGATCATGGATATTAACTTCATTCCATTTAATTATTATTATTATTATTATTATTATTATATCGAAAGGGTAGTATTATATAGAAGGAAGTTGATAGAATCGATGGGCCAAGAAGACACGCGCGCACCTGACGTATCGATTGAGCTCAAAGTAATTGAGGAAATAGAGAGAAACGATAATACCACGAGCAACTACAGCAACAGCACCAGCATAGGCAACAGTTGTCCTTTTTCGAGCGGCCTATGAACCTAGTTCCTTGACGTTGCTGTGCCTGCTGCTGCTGCGACGTAGGCGTTTGTTGTTGCTGTTGTTGTTGAGATTGTTGCAGTTGCTGTTGTTGTTGTTGTTGTTGAGATTGTTGCTGCTGCTGTTGTTGGGATTGTTGCGACGATTGTTGTTGCGATTGATGCTGAGACGATTGTTGAGACGACGTCTGAGACGATTGTTGCGGATTGCCGTGCTGAGATGAAGTTGCTTGACTTTGACTTTGGGCACGAAGACGACAACTGCTCGTAACACCGTCGTTTCCACCCGTTCCGTGGCTAACGCCAATCCCCATTGTGCTTGCACTGATTCCACTCGACATCTGACGACACACATACGTTACGTTATTCGGCTTACGTTTGACAAACTATTATCTTTTTATATTTGGGTTCTTTTTTTTTCTAGAATAATTAAAAGTATTAAGTCGTCGTCTCATAAGTTTCTTGCTTTTATTTTATGAGTATATTTTACGTGCACGATATACTTTGTCATTTTATTTTATTTTATTTTATCAAGCGAGCTATTTAAAATTCGTATAATTTTCAAATAAAAAGTAATGTTATTCGTGTGAAACTTTTAGGAACGATCCTAACAGTTTAAGTAATTAGGAAACTTTGCGTAAACTATTAACTATACGAAAGGGTAACGTGTCAAAATCAAGTGGCAAATATCTTCGAATAAATAAACCCTCGAAAATGCATTGTTTCATTAATTTATAGATTATTCTATTTTCGGAAAGTGCTTCGATTTTCGATAGGACCGAATCTTTAACGAAGCGTTTACGGGTACTAGGATTCGTTGTTAATCGTTGAATCTAGGCTTTAGAAAAATGATTCTCGACTCCGGTCAACTGTGCACTATCGCGCACACGCTTGGATCGTTTAATCGATGAAAAAAATCGGAATGAGTGTTGGTCCCGTTCTTCTCTCCCTTTCTTTTTTATTCTATTTTATTTTATTTTATTTTATTTTATTAGATTTTGTTCTCTCCGAGTCACGTGGTGGAAAAAGACAAAAAAAGAAAAAAAAAAGAGAGATAAATAAATGAATAAATAAAAAAAAGATGGTGAGAAAAAGGTTGAAAAGAATTGGTCAAAGCTGTCGGAAGCTCTAATTGAAAGCAGCTGACCATAATTGACGCCTAAGTCCTCAAAGGATTGGCAATTAATTTGGATGGGATTTTCGTAGCGATAGTAGTACACTCAGCCGCGCCTATCGATTTATCTCGTATTTTCCAAGCTTTCGCGCGTGAATCCAGTCGAGGATTAATCGTATCGTCTCCATTATTGCCATTTGAATTTAATTCCAACTGATATCGAGATGTGGATCGCAATCTCGAAAGTATCGCGCTTACTGTACGAGTCAATGAAAACGAATACTATCTATCCTAACGGTACTAGATAGAAAAAAAAATAAAAAAAAAAAAAAAGATAAAAAAAAGAAATAGAAAAGAAAAAAGAAAAAAAGCAGGGTTTTCTATTCGGTTCATTGGGAAAGTTCGTGGAACGTTGAAAGAAAAACTCGTTTGTATAATGCGCGCGTGCGTGCTCGAACGGTGTAAAAACAAAAGAGCTTTTAAAGGAAAAACGATCGGAAAGGTGGCCCCCTTACCAGGTTACGTATGCAGATTACATACACACACGCATGCACGCACGCACGCGCACGCACACACACGCGTATCAATATAAAACGCTTGTAAGTAAGTAAATAAGTAACATACGTGTGTTTTATTTTTACGATAAATCTTCGTCTATCGTAGGTGATACATCTGAAGTCATTATCGCGAGTTTTACACACGAAAGTTAATAAAAAAATTTACGAAGAGACACGCCTTCCTTTTTTTCGTTTATCACCAGCTCGGTGAGAAAATTCGACGGAAGCCACCCTTACGTTTACGTTATTCCACGCAAAAGAAAAAAAAAGAAAAAGAAAAACAACGGGTACTCGGTTCTTCTTTACTTCAGTTCGATCGGATAGATAATAAGCAAGAGAGGAGTTAAACACAAAAAAATAAATAAAAAAATGTAAAAAGGTGCAAAAGAGAGAAAAAGAAAGAAGAAGAAGAAGAAGAAGAAGAAGAAGAAGAAGAAGAAGAAGAAGAAGAAAGAAGAACAAAAAATATGAAGGTAAGATAATGAAAAGGTCGACGCACGTCGACCCCCCGGAGTCTCTCACCTCTATCATGTTCCATGCGAGCGAGAGCGAGACGAGCTCGCTTCCCGCGTCCTTAAGGTCCTAAAGGATGTGTAGTAGGGCGCTTGCGCAGGTGTTTTTAAGGACCGGAGAGAGAGAGAGAGGGAGAGAGAGGGAGAAAGAGACAGGATTGGAATTAGAGAGAAAGAAAAGTAGTAAGTGAATGAGTGCGACAGATAAAAAGAGAGAAGAATGTAGGCGACACTAAGGGGTTGATTTTCGTCGACGATAAATTGGGGGAGGTGGGAGAAAAAATAGGATTTTTGTTGAGGTATCCCTTCTTATCCTGGTCCACCGGCGAGGCCAGCCGTTCGTCTAGGGGCCTCGCCCGAAGTCCGCATGTTCTAAACGATGACGTTAACGATGCTTATTGTTTGTTTGTTGTTTTACTTTTCTCCTTGTTCCTAGTAAAACAGGGTACTAACTTTTCAGAATCCTTAATTTGCGTTTTCTTTAGTGCACATGTACGAACTAATTGAACTATAGTTTAACGATGACGATAAGTAAGCTCTCTCTTCTTATCACGCGTTACACCATTTAAAGAAACACGCGTCCGTCGTTCGGGTCTTGTTCAGGCTCGGCACAGGCCAACCACCACCACCACCACCACCATTTCTGCTACCATTAAAAACAACAACAACAACAACAGATGCCAATGGACACGTACACCGATCATTATTCTTCCTTATACATTTTCTCTTATTCTCTTCTATTTGTATTCCAATCTCTTTACAGAGAGAGAGAGAGAGAGAGAAGAGAGAGAGAGAGAGAGAGAGAGAGAGGGATAGAAAGAGGAACGGGTGAGTGGGAAAGAGAGATGAATTTTCTTATATCTCGCAAACTAATTCTTCGCGAGTTTGATTATTCGTATTATCTTCCATCCTGGACCTGCAATCTTTCCTTCCTTGCTCTCCCCTTCTTCTTCGGAGATAGATAATTAAAAGAGAGAGAGAGAGAGAGAGAGAGAGAGAGAAAGAGTGAGAGAGAGAGAGAGAGAGAGAGAGTGAGAGAGAGCGAGAGAGAGTGAGTGAGTGAGTGAGAAAGTGTGTTCTATCACCTTGGAGTCGGAAAGAAAATATATATATATATATATATGTATATGCGTGTGCGTGTGTGATATCACGAAGACACTAGGATGGAACACGAGTAAAATAAAAGGGTGGGTTTGCCGATTAAAATGATATCGCAGCAGTCGAAGTAGAGATTTCGCGCTACACGTTTACGTGTCCGATAGGCGCGGCCAGGCGTTCAGGGAGTCGCCGATGGCGGTGCCGTCGACGGTGCCGTCGGCCTCTGTCAGACCGACGGATCGTGCCGCCTAGTGGTCTCTTCTTTTCGTGGTAGATGAGAGCGTGGGTGGTGAAGCACACCGTGTGCTTCCTTCTCTCTCTCTCTCTCTCTCTCTCTCTCTCTTTCTTTCTTTCTTTCTTTCTTTCTTTCTCTTTCTTCTCTCTCTCTCTCTCTCTCTCTCTTCTTTGAGAGTTCTCCGTTCCGTTAACAGAGTAAAAATAGGTTTTCCGTGGTCGTAGGAAGTGCCGCCGCTCAGGGCGCTGGCGCGAACGAATAAACGCTAGGCCTATCGCGACACCACTACTTTATTCTTTTTCTATCTTTTTCCCTCGTGTTCCTTTTCTCTTTCTCTCTCTCTCTCTCTCTTTCTTCTTTCTCTCTAAAATTTTCTCTCAATTAGTTTCGCCCCTTCGGTCACTCTCTCTCTCTCTCTCTCTCTCTTTTCTTGTTCTTCTTCTTGTTCTTCTTTCTCTTCGTTGTAGCTATTTCCTTCCGTTATTTCTTGTTTTCTTCTTCTATAAACTTTAGTTAATTCTAATGTTTCCCAGACACACGTATTCTTTACTAATTTCTGGCTTAACGTTCGCCTAGGGGAGCGAAGAAAAACACATGCGTGTGGTTTGTGAATAAAGAGAGAGAGAGAGAGAGAGAGAGGTATGTTGTAAAAGATAGGAAAGTAGAGGGAGCGAGAGAGATTGCGAGAGAGAGAGAGAGAGGAGAGAGAGAGAGGAGAGGAGAGAATAGTAGAACGACGTCGAGCAAGTCGGCCTGTCTGTCGGTTATTGATTGGCAGAGGTCGAGACCAGAGGGAGAGAGGTGCTCGCGGCGCTGTCAAGCTGTACGACACACGGAAGAGGATACCAGGAGTTTATCTTTCCTGGATAACGACGAATTCTTTGATATATTTCACCAACACACTTATATATCCTTCTTCACGAATATTCGAGGGTAATTATTCTTGTTACTTCTTAGCATCTTCGAATTTTTTACGAGGTCATCTTCTTCAGGGTTGGTCCTGCGATTTCCGGTGTCCTCTTTGATTTCTTTTTCCCTTTCGTCAACCGTGATCGGTGTGTAATCTCTCTGTCTCTCTCTCTCTCTCTCTCTCTCTCTCTCTATGTGTGCGCGTGTGTGTACGTGCGTGCGTGCGTGTGTATTGTTAAGATCTAAAGAAGAATCAGAACTTTTATCGCAGGAAGAAAAATTCAACGAATAAGTCTTATTATTAGAATCGTTTCAATTTTCGTTAAACATCATATTCTTGATATATATATTTTCTAATCCTTCCGTTATGTTTCTCTCCATCCTCTAATCCTCTTCTTTCTTCCAGCACGTTTCACTCTCTTCACATTGGTAAACTTGTCAAGAGGGCGTCCGGATAGACTGGATGATAATACGTCGACTCGAGGAATACGTATTTCACGAATCCCACGTTCTTGTCTTTATCGTTTTTATTTTTGTTTCTGTCTTTGTCCTTTGTCGTTGTCGTCCACGTCTTCGTCGCGTCGTCGTCCACGTCGTCGTCGTCGTCGTCGTCGTCGTCGTCGTCGTCGTCCACGTCCTCCTCCTCTTCCTCCTCGACGTCGGGCTCTTCTCGTATCTAAAAGAGAGAGAGAGAGAGTTTCCGGCAATATGGCGGTCACGCGCTTACGCGACGCCACGACCACCACTGCGATTCGTTTCTCACTCCCACCGGAGGAAAACCAACGACGCCGACGCTGAAAACCAACGCCGACGCCGACGCCGACGCCGACGCCGACGCCGACGCCGAAGCAAAACCCGATCGCAACGCAACCTCCCTCCACCCTCCACCCTCGCTATTCGTTTACTTCGACGAGCGGTCATGAATGCGAATGACCTCGGATCTCCTATCTTCGAGCTTTTCCAAATACTTCAAAATGGAAAACATCGTAGGGGGAGAAGGTTCATCTCCCCTTTCCATTCGACTCCCCCCCAACCCCTGAGTAATTCATATATACATTTCCAATTGGTTCCGTTAAAACGATCGAAGTCTATTATCGATAACGAAGATTTACGGATTTTTTTTGGTTATAGTTTTTAATCTCATTTTATGGGAGTACTACATAACAATCGGTTCTCGTATCTTTGGGTTATTCCGAATAATTCACTTTTCTCTAGAATTCGTATCTACAATTGCGATTGGTTTTTTATTAAAAATATGACAGAATGTTTGTAATACGTTTGAACAGATTACAAAGATTTTTCTAGTTTTTAATTTGAGTTTATATAACGTATCTAGGAGCACGCGGGCAGACGTCAAGGAACCTGCAAAGTAAGAAGAATACGATCGTATTCGCCCGATGACGTCTGACCACGCGGTACACGCGCATCTCTTATGATGTGACGTACAAACTGACGTCCATGTGTCCCGTGTGCCGGCTCGTGTTTATCACCATAAACCGTTCCTCTGTGGCAACGTTAACGTTAACCGAGCATGATGTTCTGTCGCAGCACATCCGCTTATATTCGACGAGAGAGAAGATGTTAATCGATCTTTCCTTTTACACGTACTTACACAAAACCGGGGGAACCCCCTACGTCTCGATTGAGAGTCATCCTGCGGTTTTATTTTTTTTTACATTTATTTATTATCTTTTTCTCCCTTCACATTCCTATACCTATTCTTTTATTATTTTTTGTTTCCTTTCTTTGTTCGTAATCGGTTTAATGAATTGGAAATCAAGAATATTGCATAAGACTTCGAATACACTTACGTTTATATATCGTTTACGCAACGAAAAACTCGTCCCGACCAATTCGAATTTTGTTCTTGTGTTATTAGTTGTAAACAAATCTATCGGACACGTTAATTCGATCGATTTTCTTTTTTTTTTTTTTATTATTAGCCGTTGTTATTTATCATTTTACGTTACTCGTGAGTAATTTTTATGGTAACGTAAACGATTGGCTTACGCTTGGAAAGATTACAAACGTTCCCTGTCTTTTTAGTTGCAAAATATATGTGTATATATCTTTTAGCAATCACATCGCGTATATAATTTATGTTAACATTCTTTGATGTTCGATAAGAGTACTCGACGAAACGTTTCAAAAAATACGCGAGTCATAAGAGAGCTCTACTTTTACCGATAGGATCAATCGAATCGAGATTATCGACGCGTATCGACTTACCAACGAAGCAAACTCGAAAGATAATTCGACGAAAGTACCGACGTGTAAATCTTCGATCTTTTCGGTAGCGTCGATAAAACAGTTTGACTTTCGTTTAAAATTCATCCAAATACAGTATAGCTAATAACGTACAAATCAGTACGACGTGTTTGATCTAATTATTATAATTATTATTCGAGAGATAGGATCATTTGAAACTGGAGACATTAAAATCCCGATGGAAGGGTGTTTTTTATTATGACAGAATGTCTAGACATTTTACTACTAAAGATTCTTACGAAACGATTACATACAGGCCAATCTGGAAGAAGCAAAAAAAAAAAAAGCAAAAGAAGAATAGATATCAAATTTATTTCCGCTTTCGAATAAACTTGCTGTTCGTCGATAGGATCTAGAAACTTCCGGAACTTCCCAGGCCCGACCTTTGAATTTTTACAGAGTTGCCAATAAAGACCAAGTCCAATGGGAAGCGAGAAACCCTATTGGGGTCCCTTTGTGTCTGTTCCTGAAAACAGCCCTCTCTATCCTTACGAAATGCGCCCCTGAGTTCGAAAGCTGCCGTTAAGGCCGGCGTTGTTGGTGCTGCTGCTGCTGTTGCTGCTGCTACGACGAACACGTGCGAACGGATGGACGGATGAGCGAGCGTATGCTGGAAGCAGTGGGAGTGGGAGGAAGGGCGGCAGGGAGGTAAAGAGCAAGAGATAGAGAGAGAGAGAGAGAGTGAGAGAGGATCGGTAAGGGGAGAAGAGGAGGTGTTGGGAGGAAGAGAGAGTGTGCGCGAGTATACACACCTACGCGCTCGCACTCACGCACAAAGAACCTTCTTCGTCGTCGTCCATCCGTCGTCATCGTCTTCGTCGTTGGACGTAGCCTGGTTGGGTGGAGATGGGGCGGTGGGTTGGGGAGTGCCGGAGGATGAAGAGGGGTTGGGGGAGTGGGAGGGGGAGGAGGAGGTGGGAGTCGAGAAGAAGGGGACGGGAATGGGTAGGGAACGGAACGGAACGAATGGGAAGGGAAGCGGGGTGCGGAGGGGCGGGCGCTAGGCTGGGGGAGGAAAGGGGAGGAAGAAGAGGAGGAGGATGGGGGGAGGAACAGGCTCGGCTGCTCCCCCTAATACTGCAGGATTGAATGGGCGAGAAGGGTAGTATTGGGTTCCCTCACCCCACTCCCACCACCCACACAGCGCTCGAGCTCCCAAGCCACCCGGAGCCACCCACTTCTGTCCGCCTGCCACCCCGCCTGCCCACCCACTCGCCACCCGACTGCCGTCGAGGAAACAACCTGCAACCGAACTCAGCATAACGTTTTCTCCAACAAGCATTTCCATCCCAGGTATGTATCTTCTTTTCAAATTTCTTCGACGTTAACGTTAAATACGTGATCGAGTATGACGAACATCTTTCTTGCCGCTTTTTTCTTCCTTTCCTCGCACTATTTTTCGGTATTGCGCGCACTTGTGTTATTTTCTTTCTTGAGACAAGAAAGACGAAAAAGGAACAACGAAGAAGAAGTAGAAGAAGAAGAAGAAGAAGAAGAAGAAATGGAAACAGAAGGAATAAACAAGTAAAAAAAAAAAGGGTAACAAGAAGAAGACGAAAAGAGGAAGATGAAGATGAAGAAGAAGAAGAGGAGGACAAACAAGGAAAAATAATAAGCAACGGAAAAAGAGGAATGAAATATACGGGCCTTGGAAGTTCCGCGTGGTCACGCCGAGATAGATGGATAAAGTGAGAAAGAAAGAAAGAAAGAAATGAAGAAAGGAACAGTAAAAAGATGGTCGCGTCATACTTGTTCGTTCCGTGTGTCGTGTTGTCGCAACGCGTTGTCTTCGTCGTGATCGTCGTTACATCGTCGTCAACGTCTTCGTTTTCGTCTTCGTCGTTGTGTAGTCGGCGTCGTGAGGAATTGTGATTCGCGTGGTAGTAGTGACTTTCGCTGCTTGTTATTATTTTTTTTTTGTCTGTCCCCACATAATTGTGTTACTCGGTACGCGGCATGTTTTCGGCGTTTTGAGAAGTGTTTAGAGACGAGGAAGAACAAATAGTAGTAATAGTAATGTGGTAATAGTAGAAGTAAAAGAATAAGAATAAGAATAAGAAGAATAAGATATCTCGATAATCGCGATAGGTCGCGTTGGTAAACGTAAAAGAGAGAGAGTAGGACTCGCGTCGATGACGCGCGTTCCGTTCTTGGCGACGGCGCGTCGCGGAGTACGCGCGCGCGCCCCTGGGCCCGTCCATATATCGCGAGTTCTCTATATATCTCGGTTAACAAGAGAGAGAGGACGCGAACACGCGGAGAGGGACGGTCATCGTCGTCGTCGTCGTCATCACCATCCTCGTCCTCGTCCTCGTCCTCGTCCTCGTCCTCGTCGTAAACAACACGCTTCTTCTTATCGCGATATACGACTACGATGTACGATTTCTGACGACGCGTTTTGCCGTAACAAGAATTTCCAACAACGAAATAAAACTTATCGGAAAATGACGAAAGAACTTTTTTCTTGCCGTTAACAGCAGCATTTGAATTTCGCGAATCAGGGCAGCAAATTTTAATCAACGGGCGCCGAGAGCGCCACTCTTATTCTACCGTGCGTGAGTTGCGTACGCTACTTTGTACAAGCGGACGCTTGTGGCCGACGCCAGCGGGCGACGCTAGCGGACGACGCCAGCGGCCGACGCCAGCGCGACCGACGCCAGTGCGACCGATCGAGGAATCCTCCCACACTACACAACAACCTCTCTCTCTCTCTCTCTCTTTTTCTCTCTCGCTCTTTCTCTTTCTTTATCGCATATGCGTCTCTGCTACCTGAGTGTACGTGTACATGTATGCATATGCGCGCGCGCGTTCTGTGTGCTGTGTGTGCGTTTTCTCTCTCTCTCTCTCTTTCTCAGACACACATTCACTCACTCACTCATGTACAACGATGGCCGAGGAGGTCGAGACGAGGGGAGACCTGCTCTCTACCGTCCTTGGCCTAGCCGGCAATAATTTCCGGATGAATTTGAATGGCGTACTCTGCGCGCGCGTCTCTCTCTCTCTCTCTCTCTACGTCTGTCTGTCTCTGTCTCTGTCTCCGTCTCTCTCCCCCACTTTGCCTTTCTCTTCCACTCTCCCCTCACACAACTCCCTCGGCCAGAGTTCCTCTCTCATCGTCGACCGTTTTCCTTCCAACAGTGGTTCTCATTCGACTAACGGGACAAAACTCACCATCGTCATCGTCATTCTCCTTTCCCCTTTCTCTTCTTGGACAATTCACTGAAACATCTGTCGTTTCTATGAGCTCAACGTCGTAGGGGAATATTGATTTATCTTTCTCTCTCTTTCTAAAGTAGGGGAAGGGACTCAGCCCTTGTCCTTTCTCGGTTCTCTCTACCTACCTACCTACCTACCTACCTACCTATCTATCTACCTACCGTTTTGCGTACCCTCCTTTGCCCTCTCTTCGACCCCCCACCCTTTGCCCTCCTATTTCTCTCCCCTAACCCTCGCTCTCCTTGCTTCCCCTCCTCCTCTCCTCCTCATCATCCTTCTCCTCTACCCTTCTTCTTCCCCCTGTTCCCGCGCAAGCGCACACAACTTGCTCGTAGTACCTCTACCATCCGAGAGAAAGTGGAACTTACGCCAGGGAGAGCTTCTCTTTCTCTCACTTCCCCTTCTTTTTCCTCGAACACGATCAATACCAACGAGGTTCCCTACTTCCAACAGCTCCTCTAGCGTTAGCGGCGCATGCGTCGTTGCACCTAACCACCCTTTCTCTTTCTTAAAAAACCCAACTTCGTTCGAAGCCACCCTCTTCTTCGATCCGTGCGATCGATCCTATGAGACTTCTTCTTTTTCGATAGTTTTTCTTTCCCTTAATGCGACTAATGTTAATATATACGTATAGTAATTGCCCTACTCGAGTTACGAGATAGGCTAATCAATGTCTACCTATACGGTAGAATGTCAGGTATTTTTCTTTTTTTCTTAAATGTATAATAACTCGTTTATTTTCATTTCGGTGATGATAATAAATTGTTCTTTTTATTTGTAATTTTTAATCATTTACGATTGCAACATCATGAGTCTTTAGTTATAATAATATCTATTGTAATAATTATAATAAGAATGAAGTTATAACATGTATTGTGATATATATTGCAAGGGGTCAGAAAGATTTGTTCTCGATGGATAAAATTTATTTTATTGAAACGAAAGCAATCTCAATATTACATGCATTTTTATTCAAACCTACAAACGAAAAAATTTCTGTGAAATTATTCTACCCTCTTAATTGACCTATCGTTAATTACAATATAGTATCTTAAAAAGTAGGGGGAGAGAATTAGAATTCGTAGGAAAGCGATAAACGTATTTAACCAAAAGTACGATTCATTGATTTCGAGTTAGACCGGAACAATTTTCTTTTGCTCTGCATATTTGACTTCTTACGAAAACATCACGAATGGATAGACACTTTCCAAGTAGTGGTGGGTATACGATGGTGTGCGGTTACGATGGTGGTTGCGATCTCTCGTATATAGTATACTAGCCTAACTACTTCGACTCTAATCCTAAACTATAGTTCGGATAGTCGTTAGAAGAGAAGTCGTTAGCGCCTTTCTTCTCTATCAAGATGGGAGAGAGAGAGAGAGAGAGAGAGAGAGAGAGAGAGAGAGAGAGAGAGAGAGNGAGAGAGAGAGAGAGAGAGAGAGAGAGAGAGAGAGAGAGAGAGAGAGAGAGAGAGAGAGAGAATTCGCGGTTCCAAGCCCAACATGTTCAACCGTGTGGTCGAGAACACATGCGCGCGCAACTGCACGTCGACCTTCCAAGCCGTTCCGAAACACGCCCCCGACAGACAGAGGGAAAGAAAGAGATAGATACACTGAGATAAAGGGAAACAAAAAAAAAAATAAAGAATTCAAGAGAGAACTCTGCGTGAATTAGAGAATACGAGAAACGATTTTCATTTTTCCAAGGTGGCCTCGACAATTTTCAACCCCTTTATTTCTATCGCTTTAGAAACGTTCGACGTTCGAAATCATTTGGATATTTTTACCTTTTTTCTTTTTGTAAGGTAAATAAAAACTAAGGACATCTCCCGCGTGGCTTTTCACGTAAAGAATCCCTACAAGGATTTGTCCTTTTATTTTTTTGAATAACGATGAAAGAATGAAATTTTTTTTGGGGGAGGGGGTGGGTGGCAAGATGGAGAATAAAAGGGATTCGAACTATTGTTAACAAAAAATGATTTACAATAGGATCTTTTCTTTGGCAACCGTTGAGAATTTATTTTACTACCTAAATTCAAAATAATAAGACGGGACAATTTTCCAAGGTTCTTCCTTTGATGATAAGATTAGATAGTAGTAGTAGTAGTTGTAGAATTGTACTATGACCTTTTAGGTTCTTTCAATTCCCGTATTTCTAAGTTTTCCGTATATTTACGAGTAATTTTATTTGACTCCTCTTCATTCTTCCTCATTTCTTTTCCTTTGCTTAAGAACATCTTTAATATTACTTTAGCGATTATGCATAAGAAAAGTAGGAAGGAAGAAAACTGAGAGAAACGATATTACTTATATACCTTGGAGAAACGTTATCTTTCACAATAGATAATTTCTTTTCTTTCTACTACTCGACTCGAAGAATTCGTTCGCAGCTAAAAGCCGATTTAAGAAAACAAACGTTTCAAGATGAAACGTAATCTCGCAAAAGTGCCGTCGTATCGTCGAACTGCCGGAAGAAAAGGAAAAAAAAAAGAGAAAGAGAGAGAGAGAGAGAGAGAGAGAACTTCTTTTGGGGAATGAATAAAAAGCGACAGCTCGTTAATCGTACCTTCCGAGGCTTTCCCGTTTCAAAAAAGGCTAACGATGACATAGCGCTCTTGTCTTATTGCTTTTCTTTCTACCTAATTGACAACAACGTAGAAAACTTGTTGGACAATATTCGTATAATGGAAAAACATTACACTTTTTTTTTATTACGTAAATGACTAACGATATGACGACGTTAATTGATTAAATAGTTTCTTTTTTTTTTTTTTTATGAATTTTCTTATTTTTTTCCAACGAGAGATGTTTCGAGATAATTAACTTGAATTTTGCACGGGTCAATGATAAATAATTTATTTGTACGGTTAATAATCAAGCGAGAAAGAGAGAGAGAGAGAGAGAGAGAGAGAGAGAGAGAGAGAGAGAGAGAGAATGTCTAATGTACTTTGGAGTTTCCTGTTTGTTAGAGTTTACAAAGACGACTTTGTATACAGGTAGAAGGGCCCTGTATAACACCGGCGAGGGAAGGATTATTGTTCCAAGAATAGTGGCGAACCACTGACGACCTCAAAGATGGAGGGTAGCGGTACAGGAGTTGGCAGGATGGACACCTACGAGGATATGTTCAAGGAAATTACTCGAAAGCTTTACGGAGACGATCCCGATCACAGAAGTACGTCTAACTTATCCTTCGCGAAAGACTGGAACTGGAATTTAAACTTAATTAAGTTTATCAAAAGTAATTGAAAAAAAAGATTACTCATTATCTTTTTTTAGTTTTCGTTTAAACTTTTGTCTAACTTGAACTATTATCTAATTATATAATATACATATACATATATATTTATATATATATAGAATCAAAATTATATTCGAGCGATATTTCGTTTGGCGAAGTAAATACGACGATAGTACAATGTTCTCGTATTTACTTCCATTTACTATTACAACCACCGTATAATATTATTTAATCTTGTTGTTTCCGATTCTTTGTTATACGCAGCTTCGAGCGTCCAAAATGAATTCGAGACATCCGTGTCATACAAGAACGACGATGATACCGGAAATGGGACGGATGGAAGCGACGAAGGTAATTGGACTTGCGAGGAAGAACCCCTTAAAGGCACCGACGGTAGCCGAATAGCTGCTTATCATGCCGGCAAAGCTACATGGAGATGTTACGAATGCGGTAAGTTTATTTTAATAATTCATATAGAAGAACGTTTGTTTTATTGTTTAGTACGCGTACATCGTCATAGTATGGAATCATTTGTATATGTGAGTTTATTTAATCGAAGAAAGGAATGGAATGTGTCAATTAAAACATTCTTCAACTCTGAACTCTGTTCAAGTTAACCCTCTATGGGGCCTTTGTGTAACTTTCAGGTCACATGCTAATTTTTCGACATTTTATCAAATAATTTTACCTTTTTTTTAATGATACAACCAATACCAATATTCTAGATTGTTGCTAGTACAATCAACCTGTAACAACAAAATAAATGCCGTGCAAACTGTTTGCAAAAGAAGCAAACAAATTTATTTGTTTCAATTGATATTAATTGTGCTTCTGTCAATGTTTATCGAACAACAAATAGTGTATATAATAGCTCTGGGTTTTTATATCAATGACAACTTATTTGTTGACATTTCAATTATCATTTTGTTACTATTTTTTATGATACAGTTCTGTAACTTTGAGATTACAATGGGGTTTTTTAATGTATACATCATATGCCCAAAATATGAATAGTTGACTACATCATTTACTATACCAGTATCCATTGCACTGTAATCCAACAAAACCCATAGCTGTTTCAACGAATGAAATTGAACAATATAGTACTTCAGTACTAAAGTACTACAAAACATGTGAAAAAATGAAATAGCAGCACATTGGCCAATTTTTTCGGACAACAGAGAACGCTGCTGCAAAACCCGGATGTAAAGGTGTCCTGAATTAAAAAATAATGTTCCAAATGCAACGTACATTTATGTTTAACGAAAAGTACAAACTGCTTCGTAGAATTTCACGTTTAAGTTTTAATACGCAGAAGTGTAAACATTTATATAAGCCGTTGTTACCTGAAAGTTTCACACAGTGAATTTATTCTAATGAAATTATTTAAATTGGAAAATCTTTTTTTTCATCTACATATATAGTCTTACAATCGTTGCTTTTCCGTTCCATCAATTCTTTTTATATTTGAGACAGAAATTTCGGTCCATATAGTATAGGGTTAAAGGGAAACGAATAGTTTTGCGTCATCTTTATTTCGGTTTAAACACAATAGAAATACTTTTTATGCGGAGATGAAATGGGAAAGAAAAATATGTAAAAGAGAAAATTTGAACAAAGATAGGAACGGTGGAAAGGGAAAATGGATTTCGGATCATTTATGGATAGCAATCTGGAAGGGGAATTCCCGAAGTTACAAAAATGCTTTCGAGCGAATGGTCCTTACAGTCAACAGAAAGATTTGGTAAAATGAAGTTCGGTTAACAATAAGTCATTACGAAATAATAATCGTACGGAAAAGGAAAATACAAGAAATGTTTCGTTGTTAAAATTATTTAAACAATTAATTATTATTTTTGTTCATACTGTTTCTCACATAATATGAATTTAGGGCCTTCGTACAAATTATCAAAAGTTCGATTCGAATCTTTAGTTGTGAGAAAAAGTAAATAAACGAGGCTTTTTGTAAAAGTATAAAAAATCAAAAACATTGCTAGATGTGCGAAGGAAGAATGGAAATATTTTAATAAAAATTGGAAGAAATATTAAAGTATATAAATAAGTTCATAAACTTAATAGAAGAAAGACTAATAAATCGTTCGATGGAAACAGGATCAAAATTTTGCAAACTATAACCATGAAGAAATAATCCAGGCAAAACGGAGTGCCCATAAAATTACCAGAATGAGATGATCAATTATTTGATACGTTGCATTTTGAAAGATATGTATTTTTCTTTTTTCTTTTTATTAAATTTAATAATATTTTCGATTTGTGTGTGTGTGTGTTAGAAACGATGGAAAACGCATCAAATTCATCTGTTAAAGATAGAACGAAAAGGGATACAAAAATAAGTTATTGTCCTTTGAAATCCTGTTTGCAAATCTGGTTTTCATTGGGTTCAATTCTACTTTCCATTCTTCCTTTCTTGTATTATATACAGACGCATAAAATAGACAATTTTCAAATAGCTGTCAGCTGTTATTTATCTATGATCGATCATGAAATATAAGACTGTTCATTCTAAATTTCGAATCATGCAATAAAGATCCTAATTGGTTAACTTCGAAATTGTCACAAGTTGGGGATAACCGGATTGTCGTGTGCCTTACTAAATTGTAAACAAGGTTTCAAGCGGTACTATATTTTAATCGAGAAAGATGAATGGACGTTATTTACTTATTTGGTTAAAAAAATCAATTATCAAGATTGACATAATGGGACACGGAATTAAAATGCAGGTAAGATAAGATACAAAAATTAAGTATCAAGTCAAGATAAGGACATAGGTTTAACACTTTAATTAGAAACGCAATTATTAGATTTGTGAGTATAAAAATGTTGGATTTTTAAGTGAATATATAAGACTCCAACATTTCATATGCACCAACCTAATGGATTTCCGAAGTTCGATTAGTTTGATAAAAGAACCATTCATTCTTGAATTAATGATTGAAATTATGAAGAATAACTTAATAATATTTGAGGTAATCGATTAATCCGTTGTAGAAATTTGTCAAATAATTTTTATGAATATTGTAATGAAAACACAGAGATACAAAATATAATTTTATGGTGTTCGCAATACTCGGTATAACCATGCTTTGTTGAGTTATACTAACGATGAGTTACGATTTAATGAAAAAAAGTTGGATTTAGTAGAACCGGAGAGAATAGTTGTTTTAAAAAATTATGAATATTAATATTACAATAGTAGTTCCAACACGAAAGATAAAAATTATTCATTTTTTAGTAGTTCGCGTAAAAATAATCAAATAAAATATGTAGGATACGTGAATAAAAAAAAAACACTATATAGAAATGTTGGAAAGTGAAATTTATGTAATAAAAATTTACTCAATGCCGTATAATTTAGAAAGACGTACAAAGTATATTGATTTGACTCCATATGTTAGAAAATGTATTTTTGGTAAGTTACGCGATAAATAATCTAATTAATAAAATTCAATTTTTATTTTGCGTAAACAGAAAGGGAAAGAGAAAGACGACGGATGAAATAGTAGAATATTTTCAATCGAGTATAAATGATAATAAAAATCTGTAATTTAGAAAATAATTTTAACGTTGCAAGCTTAATTACGATAATCGGAAAGTAATTAATACGAAATGTGTACGAAAGTATTAAAAAAGAATCTATTTGAAAAATTTCCTACGGTCACATTTTTTCTGGAAGTCGTGAAAGGGTAGATACGGACGTAAACAAAATTCCTCAAAATTCTTTCCATAAAAAGAAAAATGTCACGTAGAAAAACTTTACAGAAAAAATAGCAGAGAAAAAAGATTCGTTTGGTCAATGGTAAGTGTGGAAAAAATGTGACCTTTTTTTTTTTTGTTTTTTTTTTTGAATCCATCTCTTTTAGATCTAAGTTCATTAATAAAAGAGAAAGTTAGGGTGGAAAGAGAACAATATTCTTGATCGACAAAAGACCTATTCAAGGTAAAATAAACAAAAAGTTTGGGAGAGGCTGTTGCTTTTCCACGGTTATCTTAGGACATTGAATCATAGAAATCAAAGTTCTTGAAAAATAAAAGTGAAAGTTAAGGTGAAATAAAAGAATAGAGAATAGAAGAATGAGAAAAAGAATTTAAAATTCGAATAAGAAAAGATGAAAAGAAGGCAAGAATTGGGAACCTATTTAAGGGTGTCGGTGCACACGTGTTCATCTTATGTACACTTCTGTTGCTAGACTTAAAATTTACTGTAGAAATATGTATATAATATTTATTGTTAACAATTTTTTTTCTTCTTAATAATCCATTATTTAAAAATTCGTGTAAATGAAGTACCGTGTAGATCGAATGATATATAAGGAAACTAATTTTATAATCAATTATGTCAAATAATATTTTAATCCTAAAATATGTTACTGCATAAAAGAATGTTGAAAAATTTAATTGTAAATAAATGTCAATTTTTTTTAAATTGACACCGAGTGTACGAGTACCCTTATCGGTCGTCAGCTTTTTTTTACGTGATTCTTATTAAGTTTTAATTTGTTTATGTCGTTTAATTTTTTTTTATACTTTTTTTATTTATTTATTTATTTATACTCCGCTCCTTTCGGGTGGGGAGGGCTTCCGATACAACTTTTCTTTTTTACAAAAATTCAACAACAGCTCTTATATTATATATTCTATCCCAATATATTTTAATTTCAAACAAAACTAAAACTAAAACTAATTTTTAAACTAATTAACAACATAACAATTCACTTCTATATACAATTTTTTGTATACATATATATATATATTAAAAATTGATTAGAAAAGGCAATGCTATACAACTGGAGATATCAATTGCTTTGTTACGGATGTTTAATTGATAAGGAAATCGTATCTGCATTTCACAGAGAGAGAAAGGGAATTTTTCATTAATTTATATTATAATTATTTGATATTATAATAATTATTTGATATATTTCGTTTTGCTACCTCTCGCATGACTTATGACCACGAAGTACTGTTATCACGTGAGAGAGTGACTGACAACTGATAAAGGGTTAATGTAACTTACTATCTATATGTATGTACAGTGTATAGTTTATTTATTTCAATTTATTATTAACATCTCCAAAAAAAATATATATTTATTTGATATCCGAGTTGTATCTTTAACTGAGAATGTTACTAGGCGTGTCTTTTCTTCTCCCACTTGTCCCCCTATTCTTTCGGAATAAGCATTTCGAAAACCAATGAAATCCCTCCCATCATTCGTGAATTCTTCCCCGCCTTCCACAACAACGTTTTTAATACATTTGTTAAATCTCAACATATTCAGTTGAGCGATACCCATTGACTCTGCAGGTCTTCTAAGATCTTCCAAGAAGAAGGACCACCTGAACTTTTGAAGTCAGTATTTTTCTTAAAACACATCTAAAATCTATAGTTTTATTAATTTCGTCCAACTTTTAACAAAAATTGTTAGAAAAAGTGTGTTATTTTTATCATATTAGCCACAAAACGCGTATCGCAGATCGTACCTCAGAAGTATAAAATCTTCTAAGAGGTGAGGTTCATCCAAACTCTAGTAGTTTTCCTTTGYATTCTTCTTAAAACACATTTAAAGTGTATAGTTTTATTAATCTCGTCACAAGTTTCATGAAAATTGTTAGAAAAAGTGTGTTATATCGATCATATTAGCCACAAAACGCGTATCGCAGATCGTACCTCAGAAGTATAAAATCTTCTAAGAGGTGAGGTTCATCCAAACTCTAGTAGTTTTCCTTTGTATTCTTCTTAAAACACATTTAAAGTGTATAGTTTTATTAATCTCGTCACAAGTTCGACAAAAAGTGTTAGAAAAAGTATGTTATATCGATCATATTAGCCACGAAACGCGTAATTTTGATTAATACGAAAAATGGATTTCCTGGATTTTTATCTACTATTAATAGGTATGAAAAAGTTATGAAACGATAAGAAAAAGAATAATTTGAAATATTGTTTCGATTGAACAAAAAGTGAAAGTGCAGAAAGTAACAAAGTTAATTTTGTTGTTTAACAAATTATTATTTTCATATAAATATATATATATCTTATTTTTTTTGTTAATGTATTATTCTCTCTCTCTCTCTCTCTCTATCTTTTATTTTATAATTTTATAATCAAGAAACATAAACCGTCATGGAAAAGGTTGACACGTTTCGTGCCGAACGGTTTTTTTTTTGATTTTTCATTAAAGTCATTTTTCGTTTCAACGTATTAAATAAATATATCAGCATGTATTGCCGGTGGTACACAAGGACTTGAATGAAAAGTTGAACGTGTATCATCGGTGGTATCCGTTGTACACACGGAACGTATTAAATAAAAAATATAATAAACATATTTGAAGAAAGAAAAAATTGTTTAAACATAGGTGAAATTTCGGGTGGTGGACCACGAGAAGTCGCCGAACATTTTATGGAATTACACTCGTCGAGAATTTTACCAGACGATACAAGAATTAGGCATCATTTACCTCGAAAGGATTATATGCAAAACGAGTTAAAGATAGAAGATGTAATAACTTATTTGGAAAGATTAAGAGAACGCGCGGAAACAGCCGCACCACCTTCCCGAAGAACTCAGGAAACCCAAACGATACCTGCCGCCTTATTGCCGGTGTCCTCGACTTTTCTTTTACAAGAATTACCGTCCGTCCCAGCGCCGCAACATTTACACCAGGTAAAACAACGAAAATTCTATTTTATTATTATAATTTTTCCACGGACATTTATTTTTTCCTTACCGAGCGAACTAATTCATTCTAATCTCGCGATTTCTTACGATTATTTTTTCAGAATTCCCCAACGATGTCATCGGTCACATCTTCTATCGGCAAGAGATACTCATGTCCGTATTGTCCTTACGGAACCGACAGACGCGATTTATACACGCGTCACGAAAATATTCATCGCGAGGAAAAGCCTTTCCATTGTTATATATGTTTCAAACCGTTCAATCGTGCCGATCACGTGAAGAAACATTTTCTTCGGATGCATCGTGATCAAGTTTACGATATAACCAAAATAAGAAAAAATAATGCAAACGCTTCCAAGTCTTTGCAACAGGATTCGAACTCGACGTCTACCGGTAATGGTGCTAATGGTCAACAGCAACAGCAGCAGCAACAACAGCAGCAGCAGCAACAACAACAGCAGCAGCAGCAACAACAGCAGCAGCAGCAGCAACAACACCAGCAACAACAACAACACGCCACTTATACGCCTGGTTACAGCGGTAATAAAAATTATCAATTGCAACCTAATCCTGGAACTGGTACTACGGCGGGTACGGCTGGAATCTATCAAGCAACGTCTATGCCGGCACCTGGTATTATGCAACCAGACGTAAACAATTGTGGGACGAGTAGAAGAATGTCAAATGGTGGATGCAACAGTAAAAGCCATCTCAAGGGAAGTTCGAAAGGATCCCAAGACCGCAGGTAATCTAAACATAATTACAATAAATGTGAATAATGAGAAATAAATTGAATAATAATAATAAATTGTAATAATAAAATATCTAAACATGAATGTAATAATTAAAATTAATAACGAGGGAAAAAATAAATTTGTAGTAGATACGTGTGCAATTTTTGTCCATGGAGTGGGGTTGACAATTGGTGCTTAAAACGTCACCTTAATACGCACTTGAGGCCATTCGCTTGCTCACTTTGCGAGTACAAAGCAGCGCGTTCCGAACGTCTGACGACGCACGTGCTCAAAGTTCACAACAGAAGTCAATGTTCCAAATGTTCCTACGTCGCGCTAGACGCAGCGGAGTTGCAAGTACATCAAATGCAAATGCACCGCGGTACCAATGCTTCGAATTCACAAGCTACGAGTTCGGCGGCACAAGCAGCATCGCTTCCAACCAATCGTCAACAACAACCCATTCAGTAAGATTTATTCTTTTCTTTTTTTTTTTTTTTATTTTATTAACCAATTACTTTAATAACCTGCGAGAGTAAAATGCATCGAACGTAAAGCTTTATTTATCGATGATCTTTGTTAATTTACAGTCCTACTGCTGGAGGACGACCACCACCTGGACCACCGGTTTTCCCTGCCCCGGCACCAGCTATCACACCTGCCACCACCGTAATACCACCAACTACATTACTCGGGTAAGCCGATAACGGTCGAGCTTCGCTGCTCATTCTGCTCGCTTTCGTTATCGTATCTTTACTTTTTCGTTCATTTTCGTATTTGCTCTTCTAATCCCTAATTTTTATTAACTAATCGAACTTTGCAGCTTCGTATTCGTACGCGCCTGCGTAAATAAATTTATGGGATAATTAATCGTGCTAATATATGAATGATTATTATCTTTTACGAACGATTATTATTGTACGATCTGTGCGAATATTGTGTCGAGTAGTTTATAGCGCGAAGGCAAGGGAGAGGGAGGGGGAGGGGGAGGGAGAAGTAGAAAATCGCTTCGTAACCGATTTTCGATCAAATTCGAATCTCAATTTTCTGATGTCAAGCCAAGCCAATTAATTCGTTCCTTTATACTGTTGATAATTAAATGCACAGTTGATACATTCCGGGGCTATAATTAACAACTTTTATTTCATTTGAATGGTCTTATTCTGCCTGTCGCTGTTTTTCTCTACTTCTCTCTCTCTCTCTCTTTCTCTTTCTCTTTCTCTTTCTGTCTGCCTGTCTATCTGTCTATCTCTCTTTCTTTCTGCATTTATTGATCTATTTCTATTTCTCTTCCATTATTTCTCTCTTTTTCTCTTTTTATCTATATGAATATAAATTTGGATATATAAAAAAAAAAAAAAAAGGAAATAAATTTTCACGTCGAAATCGAACTACGAAAGACACGGCACACGCAGACTACACGCACAAAACGAAAACCACAACGGGTTTATATTTGTTGGCCGTTAGAGAGCACGTACGAATGCACGAACAATTTATTTTTTTTTTCTCCCCCCTCTATTTTTCTTTAATTTTCTATTTTAAGATTTACGTTTATCGTTGAACGATCGACGATGGGTCACAAAAAATACGCGACGGCAGGGGGATAAAAAAAAAAAAAAGAAAAAAGGAGAAAAAAAAATAATATGAAACCTCCCCCTTGCGCTGAAAAAGGCAAAGGAAAAAAAAAAAGAAATGCAAATAAAAATGAAAATAGAAAAAAAAAAAAAAAAGGAAAAAAAAAGAAAAACGCATGAACATAGAGAAAAATTTGGTTGACGTACGTATCGTATTTTGTGACCTGTCGCATGGAATTCGAATACGCACGACTCGTCGTTCCTCGTTGTTGTGCTACCCGCTCCACCTCCAACATCACCTGTCCTCCATGTTATGTTACGTTCTCGCGTCATTTTTTTATGATATTTTCTTTAATCGATATTGCACGCTTACGTTCAGCTTTCGATGTCGTAGAATTTGTTGGTCTCGAATCTAAATGTTCCACTTTATGATTTATTTTTCTATCGCTCTATTATCTTCTTTCTTTTTTTCTTTCTCATACACATACACGAACTCTTTCTCTCTCTCTCTCTCTCTCTCATATTCTTTCTGTCGCTCTCTATACCGCTGACTTCTTCCTTTCTTATGTGTCTCTTTATCTCGTCGTATGACGGATGCTGATTAATTGATAGAAAAATGACGCGAACGTAACTTATGGAACAGTGCCGCGGTGGTTGCAGCCACGAGATGGTAAAGTCACCTGCAACTGCAGCGACTATGGCATACCCGTTGGAGGAGGAGAGGAGGCGAAGGTCGAGAGGTCGAGAAGACCTCGAAAACCTCGAGCATGGCAACGAGAAGGGCAAGGACTCGGGCGAATGTGGTCGCGTCAGCGATTCGATCGAAAAAACGAACGTTCATTCGGTTTCTCGTGATCATCGTCATAAATCGATCTTATCATCTAATCGTCATTTTACGTGCAGCACCGACGAGAACAATCCGTTTCCATTGACCTCGGAACTACTTTATGGACGTTTAACCGACGAGGACACGAGACAACCGGAAGAAAGAAGATCAAGGAAGCAACGAAAACCAAGAAGGTCTGTCCGTGGGCTTCATGTTACCGATGAACAATCTCCGGAGAACTTATCATCCAATAATGGTAATCGTAATGCGTCAGGATCTAGAATACAACGGAAACGTAGCTTCGATGAGACCAATGATTATCAAACCGACGAAGGGCAGACCGAAGAAGGGTCCTACGGTAGTTCGATCAGCGAAGCTTCACCCGAAAATTTTGTTGGCGAAGATTTGTTAGACATGTCAGCCTCATCGAGATTTCTCGACAACCGTATGTCTCAACTTAATATGTCAGCATCCAACTCTAGCCCTTCTGATAACGCCGGTTCTTCCTATACAAATTCTTTGACGAATCAGAAACTCTTGGGACAGTACAAAAGTGAGGAAACTGAGCAAAATGTGAGCACCAAGAAGAGACGTTCCAAAAAGAATAGCAATCAGGCGGTCCGTAATTACCAATCTGTCTCTTCGGTTACGCTCAAGGCCACACTTTTTACCAATCCTAGATACAATTTTAAGAGATAACGTTGGGTGCTTATCTCGAAATTTAGAATTAGGATATTTGCGAAATTGATCTTTTACTTTTAATTATAAGATAAGTTAAAGAAGATGATTATTTGAACAATATTAACCATTTAACGCGAAACGCTTGAATATTCATTCATTTTTCTTTCTTTTTTTCGAAACAAGCGTAAAAAGTAATCACTTCTTTTTATTTTGTAACATTGTATTTTATTTTTTTTTTTTGGACTTCTTCATGTAGAATATCTTTAGTTGTAGGAACAAAAGGCAAAAAAAATATCATGAAAATGATACTCGTGTGGGGGATAAAATTAAAAAAAAAAAAAAAAAAAATTAAAAATTGGGATAAAATTAAAAAAAAATTTTAATATTGCGTTGTGTGCTTTTTATATTACAAAAAAAAAAATTAAAAAAAAAAGAAAAAAGAAAAAAAAATTAGACTAAAAAAAAAAAAAAAATAATCGGTTGTTTCATATATTTCAAAACTTAATTTTGACAATATTCGATATTTAGGCTGCATGAAGAATAATTATTATTTTTTTAATCAATACATAAACTGACTTTAACTGACATAAACTGATTTTAATATGACGAACATTGAATTGACTGATAATAACGATAAATTTAAAATTAATTTTCTTTCTTTTAACTATTTTGTGTTACTTAAATTTGTGTTGTTTAAGGATAATGTTGGGCTTGATTTATTTTCCAAACAAATTTTTAATAATTTGATGCGAACGTTAAACGACCTGTAGACATAGCGTTAAGCGGTAAATGGTTAATAATCGAAACAACATTTGACGAGATGATATTACGCGTTTATTATTTTCAACCTGTTAACTTATAAAAGATAGATATTACGTTGATCAAAGCGAATGTTAATCGAATGTGTATATGTATATATGTATATGAAATTTATTTTGATCGAAAAATACTATTGTTAGGATAAGCGAGACAGGGAACTTTGAATAATATTGATAAATTGTAATACATCCTTTGGCACACGTCTTAGGATAAACTTTCTTTTTCCGTTTTTAAAGTAAGGCTCAAATTCGAGTTAACAGGTTCAACGATTATCAGAATAAAAAAAGGATGCTTGTAAATATATCTTTATTAGTGAGTGCAATTGAACGGACAAAGGTAGTAAAGCGAAAATAATAATAAGATTCGATGCGATTAATTGAGATAAAAGGAAAAAGAAAGATTAAAAGAAAGATTATAAACGAATAAGAATAAGAATAAGAATAAGAATTAGAATAAGAATTAGAATAAGAAGAACGTAACACAAAAAGTATTAAGAAAGAAAAGGCTTGGCAACAAGCTCAAAATAAGAAAGTGTGCAATTTTAATGTTTTATACTCGTACCTTACCACTTTCCTCCATCCGCCTTTTCCCATTTGATGTCTCGTACATTTGTCTTCGTCCATCTGTAATCGTGTAATCCCTCATTCCTTTTTACCCACACTGCGAAGAGCCAATTCTTCTTTCTATATACGAAGGAAATCATTTTCGGCTCATCTATTCGTAATAAATCGAAATTTTCAACCGTCATGCTGTTACGCCGTTTCCATATCGCGCTACCTGCTGAAAATAAATTTTATACATATAAGTCATTTGTACAAAACCATTATCACGATTGTGTTATTTACATTAAAAATACATAACATCCACATATTATATACTTTATATATTATATTAACTTATTTTTATTTATCCACACACAACTCTGTATCTGTTTCCCGTTTCCTTCCTGATCCTATTTTTTCCTTACTTTCTTTCTCCCCTCTCTCTTGATTGATTCGACAAAAGCCGCTGTATATTTTTAAGATCAATGTTCGTATATTTTTCTCTTAGCCCGTTGCAACGTAAATACGATATATACATACATTTTTTTATTTTATATCGATTCGAAAAGTTTCTTATTACATTTGTTGGTAAAAATCGAGGATTATTAAAAAGAAAAAAGAATCAACGACAATTCGAAAACGTTTTCAAATGTCACAAATGATGACGTCATAATTTAACTGTTAAAAAAGGGATTGATACAAATCTGACGTATCGAGGATTGGTAAGGCTCGATCGGTAAAATAGTTTAATGCAATTTTCCCCAACAGACGTCGCTGCGAACAATTTTCACATTTTCCGCACGTAAAGAGATCAATTTTGAAAATGGTCAAATATCGTTTAGCAAAAAGAGTTACTTTACGACTATGTAATAAAGTAAATCGTACCTAGCCATTTTTCTCGAAAATAACACGAAATTCGTGCAAGCGATGTCAGAGTTACATCATACGTGTCCTATATAAATATATATATATATATATATATATATATATATCATATATATGAATGAAAAAACAAATAGAAGGGGAACAAAAAATGATTGCTTTTTTTCTCTGTATAAGAAAAAGTGATAGAAAATGGTTCTGTTTTCTAAGGAAAACCGGTATCGATTCACTGAAATATCTGTTACGTATATATACTTACTTTACTTACTTTACTTTCAAGTTAGCGAGAGCGTGGTCATCGAGGCGGCATCGACAGTCGATAATTGGATGAAATTTGAAACCGTTCACCACCGACCGGTCTTCGACCCTTCCAGAGAGTCGAACAGTCTGTTACTCTGGAAATCATCGGTGAACTTTAACAAACCAATCTCGGATTCGATAAATTGTACGCCGTTGTAAGGAATAAAAGAGGGAGATGGATGAAGAGAAGGAGCAGGAGGTGGAGGCGGAGGAGGGGGAGGAGGAGGAGGAGGATGTGGAGAAAGACGAGATGATGGAAGAGGAGGAGGAGGAGGAGGAGGAGGAAGAAGACGTGGACTACCATCTCGTTCCAATTGGGGGATGTCTCGAAAATGAAGTCCTCTTGTATTCGTGTTAAGTCGAAAGGATCGATCCGCGAGAATAGACTCGTCCCGGACGAACGATGAAAATTATTCTCTCGTGACTCTCTCTCTCTCTTTCTCATTCTCCTCTCTTTCTCTGCTTACTCCTTCGTGACTCTGTCGCTTGTCGGATATACGTTGAACCTAGCGATGCTGCTTTCGATAGAGCACGAAAGCTCTCTTCTCCTCTCTCTCTCTCTCTCTCTCTCTTTTTGCTATTACGTGCAAACTCATAGTACACATTTTGACGCGGCTAAGTCGAGGCTTCGTACAGAAGCCCAGTGACAAAGGGTAAAAGAGAGAGAGAGAGAGAGAGAGAGAGAGAGATGGGTAGAACACGTTGCACAAGTTTTACGATGTAAATTTTTCTACCGACAAGACGCATAATCGACGTGCATGCAATTTTCTATATAGTATGCCATATATGTATAACGAGTAACGACAATCTACACGCGTTACGGGATTATATATATATATGTATGTATATGTAATGTAAAATGATGATGATAATAAAAATATATTATTATAATATATACATATATGCGGAGATAACGTGTTGCTGGAACGAAGAGAGATGATACGTGACGATTAGAAAGAAATATATCATCTGAATTATCTCTCTCTCTCTCTCTCTCTCTCTCTCTCTCTCTCTCGTGTTATTATAGTCGTAGAGTATTATAGAATCGATTTCAATTATGTTGAATATTCGTTATTATAATTGGTTAATATATTACGATTACCTCGACTCGAATCAATTGTACTCTCGCTCTTTTTTTTTCCCTCTTTTTCTTTCTCGCGATTAATGAGATTTCTTTCCCTTCCGTTCTGTTTTTTTCCTCTTTTTTTTGAGAGGGGTGGGGAGGAGAAATTTTCAACGAATCGTCATTAATATCGTTCTCTTCGATTATTCCTATCATTTCTATTCCATGCAAATCCAATAGGAACACGTTAAATAATAGATAACGTTTATCGCGATCATGATTTTTCTTTTTTTTTCGTTCAAAAAAAAAGCAATCTCAAGAATATTCTTGTTAATTTTTAAAACGGGCTGGAATAATTTTCGCGAATGGGATTTAATATAAGAGTAAGGACTAATTGTAAAGAAAGAGATGATTTTAACGCGAGAAAGTAAAACGCGTTTTGTCGCCTTATACTCCTCGCATTTTCTCGTTTTAGTCACGAAGCCACCTAATCGTTTCAACTAATCAAGTTAAAAAAGTCACGCGAGCTCGGCTCCTCAGCCTCGTTGTCGTCGTCGTTGTCGTCGTCGTCGTCGTCGTCGAACTTTCGTGATCGTTCAAAATTGTTAGAAACACAAGGTAAGAAAAAAAACCAATTCGATTAGTCTTCTACCGATGTCCTATTCTTTTTTCATAGTTATATGTGTGTCTATGAATACATACAAGTATTTTGTGTATATATAAAAGAAGAACATTATTCTTATGTATAAGAAGGCTTAAAAGTCCTGAGTTTAGTATGTGAAGGGTTGTAATAGAATTATACCTGTTATAAGGTGCATTGTCCGACCCATAAATGCATCTATTTCGAAACAAACATTGACTCGAAGATCGCAAAAATTGCAAAATATGCGTAATTAAATAATGAATTAAATAAATCATTTCATTAATGAACGTTAGGTTAAGATTTTTTAATAGATCGAACGTCAGCCATTTACCTATCAATGGATACGTTGCATCATACAAATTTTATGGACACCGTAAGCAATATTGGTTATCGGATTTCACCACCAGGGAGATTGCTACGTCGGGGAGATCCATTTGGAAATTAAAATAAATTTCTAAAATTAAAGAAAATGAATATTTTTGAGCATAGTTACATAATCTATTAATTATTATAATTTCAATGGGATGATGGTTTTTCAAAAATCGTAAAAAGAATTGTATGATGGCAAACGTTTCCCTTAAACTATGATAATCAAAGTCTTTGTAAAACCATAAAAAGAATAAGACTATAGTAGAAAAATATAACATGCTTTAATTCTGGTAATTAATCTTCTTACCTAATTTGAAGACATTTACACCTACGATAATTACTGCATAATTCTGTAAATAAAATGAGATTTAATTAGATATACAAAATTATGTAATAAAATATTATTTTATTATACGCAGAGGAATAAATTCTTACCAAGAGAGCGAACACACAAGTAACGTTTAACTTCAACGATGTTAAAAATCAAAATGAGATAAATAGATGCTTATGTATGAGTCAACTAGTTGATAAAAATAGAATTTCTTGAAATTCATCGAGCGATATAAACATAGACGAAGTTTGCCTCGTTCGATTTTTACCTACACCTACATCACTCTCTACCTCTCTGTCTCTCTCTCTCTCTCTCTATATATATATATACATACATTCAATAGTGTTGAGATTACTACTACGCGTAAAAATATAAAACCATAGAAACTCATATACTCTTTGAAGAGTAATAAAAATAATATTTAATAAAAACA